GCATGACATAGCTGTCTAGGAATCACTATGTAGCATGAATTTCGGTGTTTGTCAACATTCAATGTCTCTATCAAGCTGTTGAAAGTTCAGTAAGTAGTCCATCAAACAGTCTCCTTTCTGCTGGATTTCACTCTTGGAGCTGTCTAATTACAGCTAAATGCAATTTCCTGTTTACGAGGGAGTTAATTGTCTCCCATACTTCAAACAATTTTCGGTTACCCTCGAAGCATAAAAATATCCAGACAGAAGTTGTTATGAATGTGTTGTAAATCTTGTTTTGATGCCGTCGCCTGTAATTGAAACAGTGCTGTCTGCCTAGATAGGTGAGAGAGGCTAGTTCCCTCAAGTTTCTCCCCTTCATGGTCATTATTGCTTGTCGTTGATGCTGCTGTTGATTGAGTATCTTCATCCCCTCTGTCTTTTCTACATTTACTTGAAGTCCCGTCTTCCTTAGCTGCCTCACCGCTTCTCTCAATTTGTTAGTCTTCGCCTTTATGTAGATCTTCGAGTTTGTGCGACAAGACATTAGATATAAATCATCATCGTCGGTGACGAAATCGAAATCTTCTCATGAGGTCTTTTCATCATTGTAGTCAGTGAATGGCCATCTTGTCACTCCTCACTGTTTGCTGCATAGTGCAGTCCACCACAATCATGAAGATGGTTTATGATAGTAGGCGGCAGCCTCGTCTTAATTCTTCCTGTCTCCACTTCAATTCACTTCACTTCACTTCAAAGGTATCACTGAGCTCTCCATTGTGTTGTGAATTACTTGGCATGTTGCATCAAATAGCAAATATAGCTGTTGAATGAGATTGATAAAGGTTTGTGATAGTCCGTAGTGTTGGAGCAGTTGCCAACTTAATTCTCGATCGATGCTGTTGAAGGTCTTTTCAAATTCGATGAAGTTGAGGTAAGGTAGAGTTGAGTTGACTGGCATTCTATACTCTGTTCTATGATGATGCGTAGCATTGCGTTGCAATTTGATTGGCACATGATTTGTTCTTCCTGAAGTCAGTCAGTCAGTCAGTCAGTTAGCCAGCCAGCTTGTTCCTGTTGTAATGTTGAATCCAGCGTATGTTTCAATCTCTCCACGATGATGTGGCTTAATATTTTGCTTGCTTTGGGTGTACAGGAGAATGATTCCGTGCCAGTTCTTGTAAAGACTTAGGTCACCCTTGTTTCGTGTTTTAACGAGATAACACTTCTTCCAAAAAAACCTCAGATACCTTTTCTTCCTTCCTTCCTTCCTTCTGCATTAGTGGTGTGAGCATGTGCACTGCTGATGTCTCTGCGTCTGTTTTCAATGCTTCTGAAGGAATTCCTTCTTGTCCTGCTGCTTTGCGGGTTTAATTACTCTCGAACTAAAATAGTCTCATGATGGTTACTATCTAGGTGAATTTAAGAAATATCAACGTGTCTGTTTTAATAGACAATATTAGTAGCAACTTCAATAGGTTGTGTAAACTTTTGTACGAATACAAAGTTGCTTCACCTGAAATAAATACCATCGAAAAAAAACATAAAGAAGTCATTAGCTATCTGCTCCTCAGTCGCTTCAACTAGACACGTATGCAGCAACCTCGGATGGATCTAATTAATACAGCACTTATCTTTTTTCACCAGTTTTTAATGTCAGCAGAGATAGATTCTTCACCTTTGCTTTCTATGCTGTTTTTCACATTCTTTTCTACCAAAAATCAATTAGTTTTTATACATACTTAGACCCTGAAAAGATATGAGAAGTAATAAAATGCCTGTTTCATTGAACAGAGTTCAAGGGCATCACGCTGTTTCCGTTGTAGCTTTAAATCGTCATAGCAAATCCTAAACAATACGAAATATTTTATGTATACTATCATAGAATGTGTATATTTTTAGTGGTAGTGCATATCTCATTGTTTTCGACAGGGATTAGGTGTACATATTCTCAGTTGATCCTGACCACAACTTGTATAAGCAAAGTCATACAAGTCAGTCGGATACATACCATAATCCCAGTGTTATATACGCTACCAGTTCAGATCGTGAATTACAACTGTACAAGCATAAGAATATTTTCAGAAGTTTAGTACTAACCAGTTTACTAGTATGTAAAGATAAACCAGTGGTGATTTTAATATACCACCTGAGCGTCAAATAACCTACATAACTTATTTGTTGAAACTTTGTTGGGCATATTAGTAGTTTAACCTACGAAAGCATCGAATAAATTGTCCTCGGAATTGTTTTGCCCTGAAAATGACCCTGTTTAGTGTTGCTATGCTATTTTTCTTGTCATTACTTCAATCTAACGTGCTATTCCATGTGACTATCCAACTGCCAACATCAGCTAGTGATATAGTGTTCTCTTCTGGAGAGAAACTGAAAGAAAAACTGTGAAAGTAGGATTGCCTCCCCCGCGGAGAAATTTAACCATCTTGTATGATAGCACTCTACTGGCAATTCTGCATTTCCCTAATACAAACAGTGTTTACATCCATTTTTCGGTATGGCAGCTGTATTCTTTCAACACCTGTACTGCTGGAACAAGTCCCCAAGCAATGATCGGTTTCAGAGTTCGTCTATTATTATTATTGTTTGTCCCTTGGATTTCTAGTGGAATATACGGCTTCAGTAGCACGTCGCCGTTTCACTCTCTTCTCTCTAGTCTTTTCAACCTCGATCCACCAATGCCCAGAAACTTTCATTTCTTCCCCACACCATCTCCTCCATATCACCTTCAACCGGGACGCCAAACTCATCGTTTTCCATGCAGCTTCCACTTGAGAGTCTGACATCGCGAGTGATGTCCTCAAACGGTCTTCTTTTCAGTGTATGTACAATCCAATCCATCTCCACTTTCTTCTACATATTTGTTGGTCGATAGGTTCTTAGATTGCTGGTTCGTTGCCAACCAGCCAGCCAGACAATTCCTTCTTGTTTATTCTTGTTATTCTCACCATCTGATCTCTAGTGTCAGTATCCAGTGAGCGTAAATGGTAGCTGTTGATGATGTATGTCTTCACTTTGTTGGAAATACCTTTCGTAACACGCCAAGTCTCTGAATGAACCATATAGAATCACTGAGTTACTTGACTGACATTAATGTTGAAAACCTGAATCTTGTTCACGCTTTATGCTGAGTGCAATGCACTGCAGTGCAGTAGATCTCCACACTGACTTCATATTAATGGAGATCTGTCTTGGTGTATCCCGATCCTGCCTTTGACATCCTCATCTGCGCCTGTGCCGCCTGTAGTTGAAACGATGCTGCCTAGGCAGGTGGTGAGAGAGACAACTTCCTTTAGATTCCTTCTGTTGACGGTGATTGTTCATTCAGAACAACCAAATCAGAAGTATGGTAGATAACCTAAATACTTATGGCATAGAGCCGAATTTTTAACTTTTCAAAGCAAATTTGAACCAATCTGTGTGTCTCAATGAATGCTCACTATCATACTATTAATAAGTTGTATTTAAAACTTCAATAAGACAGTATGCGTCGAAATAACAAGTTTGTCAGTCAGTCAGTCATTGTTAATCGACAGTCAAGCAACGTGTATCATATATGACCCTAAGTCACGCAGTCTATATCACCCCGCATGACTCATACCAAAAGTAAGAGACTTCATCGACTGGTTGGACGTCTTGTTCTGACCACTCTGAACCCTCTTCCGACAAAATCCAGCTTCCCCTAACATCGTATGTCTTGGTAGGCGATGGCTCGACAAGCGCAGCACATGTCCAAGCCACCTCAGTCACTAAAGGTTCACAACCCTATCAATCGGTTTGCCTAGAACTCTTTACATTTCTAACATAGTAATTCCACCAGACGAGAGAAAAGCTACGAAGACACTTGTGATGAAATACTTGTAACCACTTCATGTCATCTACTTTTAACAGCCATATTTCATAATCTTATAACAGGACATAACGTACTGCAACGCAGCATACCTGTCATTTGGTAGGTAGTCGGATACTTCTTCAGCACTAAAGGTGATATAAGTTGACAAGTGCCAAAAGGAGATTCTGAAGAATGTCAAATAGTTCTTCGAATACTGGATGGTGACTAGACTGAAACTCTAAGGAGGCTTTCATCTTTACGCTTCGAAAACTGATCTGCCTCCTTTGATGCGAGAGAATATTTGGAAGACTTTGAACAACTGAAACTTCCTACAGGCTAAATGTGAACGAAAAAGTGCATTTGAGGATGAAATTTTGAGAAATAATCTAGCTTACTTGGAATATTTATTTTCTCAAAGTTTGTTTTCATTTTCTCAAGTGAATGTTTATTTTGAAGTGTCCTTACCGACTAATAAAAGAAAAAGAACATGATAAGTTTGACCATTCAAGTGATACCTGCTCAGGAAAAAAGCTTGATAATCCTTTCAGGGTGTAACAACTAGTGTAGATTTCATTAAACATTGTCATATTTTTTAATTTCATTAGCCAGTTAGGGGACTCAACGACACTGGACTAGGTAATACTAAGTTCTTTACTGTCAAATGACTAATCAGTACATGTGATACAGTCCTATAGAAGGCGAACCGTGGCCTGAATAGCTAGCTAGTACTATATGATTTAGTGTTCTACCCTGTAAGGTGGCATAAGTTATCTCGAGGCTGCTGGTAGGCTCTGTCAATATGATCTGATAGGCACGAAACCTAGATGAAGTGAAGAATCCTACCGATAACCTTCAACCAGCTAACATTATTATATGTTTATCAAAGTAGTAAAAAAGATAACGGGGTTAAAGATCTGAATATTTTTCAACTTTTATATTGAAAAACGTGGATAGCTGCATTTGCATAGATCACTCCATTAAAGCGATCAGTCAGATTATAGGCTTATCACTCGCCCCTTGACTAGTTTCACTAAATCTGGTCTCAATAATCAACTTCGATTTAAGTTGTTTTATTTCATTTACTGATTTCATCCAATCCAAACAATTTGGCTAGTTTATTAGATGAATAAATTTTATATCATGAATTGCTTAATAGAGCAACTGTATTTAATATTGAGGAGTAAATCACTTAGAAGGTTGGCAGTTTTTACATTCAGGAAATCAGTACTTATTATGGATTTGAAAAAGCCAACAAAACAAATGTTACAGTTGGGATTGGAATTAGTCAAATTTCATTGGTGGATGCGTTGACCAATCGTAGCTGAGAAACATGGACATCATAAATGAATATAAAGTACACCGAATCTGTCTGTATAACCATTTACCTTTATTTGTAGTGTTGCTCTCATAGTGGAAGTTGTTTTAGTCAATTTGATTTGCTTTTTCTACAACATGACTACTGAATATTCTCGACGAGTCCTACTACCAATTGATGGTAGTGAACACAGTAAACGTGCAGTAAATTGGTACTTAAAAGAATTTAGTCGTCCGGATGATTTGGCCTATTTCTTTCATGCAGTTGAACCACACTACTCCAAGTCTATTTTATCTGATGTACACGAGACTCATCATGAGTTTACAACTAATTTGGATAGAAATATTAAAAATTATGCAGAACTGGGTAAAATACTTGGTGAACATTTGTATAAAGATTTACAGAATAGTAATATTAAATTGGAGTATATCATGCAGATTGGAACGAAACCTGGTGAATTGATAGTCAGTGCAGCTAAAGAACGATCTGTTGATGTTATACTGATTGGTAATCGTGGTCTTGGAGCATTACGACGGACATTTCTGGGTTCTGTCAGTGAGTATGTCTTACATCATTGTAATATACCGTTTATTATCGTTCCCCTGCTGCGAGTTAATCATATTCTAAGAGTTGATGAGGTTTCGTACATTTTATCGTTTTATCTCTCTCTCTCTCTTTCTGAATACTGATCAAATTTATTATTGTATGTCTTTGTGTCTTAGTATCCTAAAGAAAAACACATCCAAATTTGTCAATTGAATACCTTCTAAAAATTCAGTTCATTTAAAATGAAAAATTATTATTTTATTTGAAAAAAAATATTGATGTAGACTTGGTTATGTAACTGGTAATTCAGTTGATAAGTGAATTTTCTTTTGGTTAATTATCTGTATAAATTGATGGGTTTCAGTTATTCATTCTTATATTTCTATTCATTATTATTACAATAAATTATTTCACGGAAAACTTTATCTTTACCTCAACATACAAAGATGACGCTTATACAGATTGATTTCCCCGTTTATTGTTACCCGTCTCATGTTAAGAATCACGTGATAGCTAGGATTCTAAGGTTAAGTGAAACAATTAATCCCTTCAATGATTCTGCGTAGTGTGACTAGAAGACGAAGGTTATCTGAATGTGATGTATTCGTGCAATACATTTCGAACAATCTGATCACACTTTAGGTAAGAATAAACATAAAACTAAAGCTTCAGTGATCCTAAGTATACTGTCTTGATGGCTCTTATACAATGGTCTAAAGGCTGTTTCAGCGTTGATTCAGTGACCTGTTTCTATAATGTATTTACCTATGGACAATGACGTCTGTCTCCTCCCTGTATTTATCGGATTATTTGAATGTAATTGGTTTTCTAACCATTTAGGCATATGCCGCGCCACTCTTGGTATACACAGCAGGGTATGACGTAATCATCTGAGTGATGTTGGGGTTTATTTTGAAGCGTAGGTTTCTTTTTCTCTGTAATGTCGAGCTTGGCTGCATGAAATGTCTTTTTAATAACCGGAATAAGCCTTCGTCTTCAGATGGTGCTGTTCGCTTCTCCCTTCCACGGTATCGTGTTGTAAACACCCGTCTTCGGGACAAAATACTGACTAACTGATACCGTTGAAACATTTTTATAACGACTGATGAATTTCAGAGGATATATGTTTTCTATAATTGTCTCTGCTAAGAATTTGGTTTCTTCTTTCGAACCTTGTTTGTATTATATTGGACAGAAATAAGGAAAATTTAGATACCGCACGATCCACGTAGTTTTTCTATACACTGATCTTTTTATCAATTTGTCTTCGCTTCTAGTTAATAATATATCAAGAAAGTCTATGTAGAAGACTTTTCGTATCTTCATGTTTACTACATACAACTAAGATATCATCAGCGTATCACCTGTACAGAGGGACTTTTTTGATTAAAATTTCGGCCAAAAGTTCTGCATGTGACATATAGACATCAGTTAACAATGCTTCTAAAGGACCTTCGAAAGTGAAGTGAATCTTATCAGTGCGTAGTAGTAATAGCTGTTTCGAACATTTTGAAGGGATGGGGAATAAAGGAATATTGAATTTGGGGAGTTTGTGGGGATTTGAAGATATTTTTAGTTCGTTTTTCATCATGGACTGACACCATTTGCAGGAACATTGGAGACCCGGGAGAACCGAACAGCCTTTTCTTCCTAGTATGGGACTCTTCAGCAGTGCGCGCCCACGACCCCGTCAGGGGTCGAACCCGGAACCTTCGGGTTTCATGGCCACCACGTTATCATTGAGTCAGTGGATCGGATGGTAGTGAGGACAGATACTCAACGACAACATTGGATGATGATGGCATTATGTCGCGAGCTCACAGGAGTAAGAATATGGACCATTGGGTCCCTACCCAGTGGCTGAGTGGTAACGTACTGGCTACTGAACCTAAAGGTCGCGGGTTCGATCCCCGACGGGGCCGTGGGTACGCACAGCTGAAGAGTCCCATTCTAGGACGAAACCGCTGTCCAGTGCTCCCAGGTTTCCAATGTTCCTTTAACTGAGGTCAGTCCATGATGAAAAAAGAACTTAGAATAAAGGAATACTCAAGAATACATAATCACAAAGAATATCAACAGTCTTGGTTAAAGGTGCGTTGGTGAATAAAGAGTTGACATCAAAAGAATACACTGTACTATCTTTGACATTAACGTCACTTATGCAGTCAATAAGTTCAAAAGTATCCTTTATTGCAAACGTACTTAGCATTTGGGCTAGCCATTTTGTCAATTTATGCGTTGAAGGGTGATAAAATAAACTTTAATCTGTTGTGGCCAAGTTGGCCTAAAAGCTGATAGTTTTCACGTCAAAGACTCAGCGTGTAGTTCAGCTTACTTGATGAAAAGAAATGAGTTTTTTCTCATGTTTATGGAATAGGTTTGACTAGCGAGAGAGACGGCTAGTTTGTGTGTGTGTGTGTTGCATATGATGACATTTACCTCGGATTAGTCAATCAAATATTGATAGAGCACCGGACCGGTAACCCAGTGGTCTCTGGTTCGAATCCGGCCGCGGTCCAGATTTTCATAGCACCTTCAGTCATCACCCAGTACAAATTAAAGAGTAGTCGTTAAATTTCAGTTCAAGCGCTCAGTAACTTGCTTCAACTAGCTGTCATTTTGCACGCTGAAAGAGATTTTTACAGCTTTTTAACTGGATAGTTCTGCATTGCCAAATTCTCTGTGAATCAATATTTTATGTCTGCTCACTTTTATGTACCAGTTAGTAATCATTATAAATTTGGTCATGTTAAGTACACGTTTCTTACCTCATCTTCTGAGTCATATATGAACTGGTCATCAGAGGGTAACCAATGTGTTTCTTAAGCCGTAGCTAGGTCTCTAGGTCAAATTTTCCACTTGGCCAATACGCTAAGTTACCCGACAATGGAGGTTTTTTTTTCTCATAGACCTTAGAAATCGATCGATAAAGCGCTCAGATTGACCTACCGTTTATTGCATATAATACTTTGATGTATTCCTTAATCAACTGTTTATGCCAAAACTTTCCATCTATGCCTTTTACTCACTTAACAACTAAAGCCTGTAGTATGTATGTTTTTAGATTCATATCCCTTGAATTTTAAAATTAAATTAAACTATTTCTATTGATTTCATGTCAGTTTTTTTTGCGCTTCTTGTCTAATCTTTATTTGTCAATATCTACAATTTATCATTTGAGTGGAACTAATGTCATACCTATTCGAATATTTTTCCATGCTATATTAATCTATTTTAGTAACAATTAATCGATTATGTTAATCTTTAGCAAAATAAAAATCTATCTAGAAATAAAAGCAATTATAATAATAATAATCGATAACTTAAGCGCAACCGCAAACTTTAATTAACTGAAGGAATATGAAGACAAAATGAGTCAATTTATTTCACTTATGAATATTGAAAAGTTGAATGAAACATTAGAAAATGATTGACTCATTCTTCAAAAATTCAACTTCTTTGAAGGTTTACGCATATAATATATTTAAACAAGTGATTTTTGATTGTTCTTTTGCGTAATTCCTGTTAGTTTCTTTTTCAAATCTCATGAAAGACAATAAACTAGGCATATATCTACTTACGCATTCAGATTTCCTGGTTGCTGAGAGAAATTTAATTGTAATTGTTTAGACATCATCACAATGGTTTTTTCATCGTATGTTGCAACCAGTTGACAACAAAAGTGTAATGATAATAGCAAAGTTCCTGACTGATAGAAGTTATCTAGTCAAGACCCAGGAATCCGCCTTTCTTAGGTAATTCACCTTATAGAAGTATATGCACTCAATTTAGATAGTGTAACTAGAAAATGAAGTTTATCTGTGTTATGATTTCGAAAAGTACTATGTGTTATGGCCGATAACGATTCACCGATATTGAGTGTCAGCCACCAACGTTCAACAAATTCCTAGTTGATTCCCAACCCTACTAAAATAATGGAGAAGACATGATGAACGTGTAGAAAAGTATATTGAGGTCAAAAGATCGAAGGCAATAATTAAGGAAAATATATTTAATATATAGATAGTTTGCCGTTTAAAACGGTACTATCGATTGGTTGATTCATCGTCTGTCTGTCTAACTATAGATGTGATTACATAAACCACATTTTGATTGGTTCCTCTCTAGACTAGTCTTTTGTCTCCACCCCCATATCACCTCCCTCTTCGGAAGGATGTTATTTGGGGTCAGACTGGGCCACACTGTCTTTTTCTTCCATCTATCTTACCGATGCAGAGGGAGTTTCACCTTTTTTACTTGAGGATCAGTAGTCTTCTCGATATTCTTTCGGCCGGTAGGTGCATGAGCATGAAAATTAGCTATCAAGCAAGAGATTTACCTACTATTCGAGAATGAGGTCTGAGGTGATATCTGGAGGATGACCTTTGTGCACGTCGTTGGGTGTGTTGACGGCAAAAACCGTCCTTATGACCCCTGCACTACTGTTCCGACATCGATGTTGTCTAGGTGGACATTTGACGAAATGCCAGCAAGGCGATGGGGGCGTCTTCAAGGGTCGTATGAGTTACTGGGCCGATGGACAGGCAAGATAAGGCCGGTGTGTGTGTGTGGCCAGAGGGTGATGCAGAGGAATGAGATGTCTGGCGAACTGCATGTACTTCAGAACCACCCTGGAGTTCTGATTGGGCTAAACCAGTATAACGCTGCAGGTTGCCTAGTCGTTGATATTCTGCAGACATGTCATTCAGTGTCTGGACTGTGACCTCGAAAGTGAGATCACATGAGTTTTACGGTGAAATCACGTTGTAGTATTGGTGAAGATCAGGTGGAGCGGGCTTTCGAAGTAGGAGACATACCTTCCAGGAATCATCTTGGTCAGTAAAATCCAGTTTGAAGTAGTCTTCATAACGCCTGAACCAAGTATCGGAAGTCTCATTGGCATCAGGGTCAAAGTGAAATTCAGTGACGCAATTGGCGATACCATCAAGTGAAAGAGCTATTAAAACTGGCATAGTAGGCGATGGTTTTGAACCAGAAATTTCGGGTTGCGTAAGTATCTTGAACTGCTCGACCTCTGTTGTTGATAATATGAGCTCCTATGCAAGTGTTTCGATTCTACCGGTATTCCTGACGTTGTATTCATCTTAGTGGCTCACAGTGGGACCAAGGAGGCACATTTCGTCCTATCTGGGTTTCAGCAGCTGGATTTACCCGCAACTAGATGAGACTCCAGCCCAGAACCAGTAATAAAAGAATAAAGTGTCTTCGGACGATTATGATTAAAATGAATATAGAGACTAAGCTTGAACCGCTGAATTGTCACAGCTTCTGCTGTTTTTAGGTGATGAATCCGCACTCCCTTCGAAATGTTTGATTTGACTTTGTTAGTGAATTTGAGGGAATTTCTGTCTCAGCAGAGTGATCAGAGTTAACCAGATTCTCAAGAATCGAGTTTTTAA